CTGAACATCACATCCACAGACAACTAGAAACCCAAGGAGAATCCCCCAGTTCTCCAGACACAATTTCACCTCGGCTTTCAATGCTGGGGTTAATAAACCATCCCAAATCATTAGAAACTTGGAGTGGTACCAATATTTGAAAGCTTATTCTGGAGACCATCACTGCATATGGTAAACTTCTTTGATTTCTTTTTATATGAGCTACAACAAATCAAAGAAGTTACATGAGCTTTTTTCATAAAGTCTGTCTCCTGTAAGAAGGTCTCTTAGTCTCAGTACCTACTCGATTATTCTGCAAAGGGACAAAATGCAATCCTCTTTACCAAGAAATCCAAATCTGGGAGAAAAATTTGCTTACTGGTAGGGAAGCACATTACAGCAAGCTAAAGTGAGCAGGTCTCTAATGTGGGAAACGTCCTGCTGGCTGGAAGCAGACTGGTAAAATCCCAGTGTTAATAGTTTCCATCTTCTGAAGTAGAGAGGAGCTTTTCCATTACTATCAGTGGGAACAGGTTGGTTTCATATATATAATTTTAAGTACTGAAGGAAAAAAAATTAGGTCAAATCTGACTTAATATGTTCCTAACAGGATTGTTCTATCTGCTGTAAGAAAGCTTGCCATTGCAAGCCAGCTTTTCTTCCCATAGGAAGCCAGGCTAAAAATAAGGCTTATGCAATTGCCACTCTCTGTCCTCCTCCCCTTGTCCTCCAGCAGCGTCTGAACCAACGGGCCAATCTTAGCCACACTTGATACAGCCGTAATGATCTCAGGGATATTAAGCTCTCACAGGTTTTGCAAAAGGTCTCTCACTTTCTTCTAAAGAAAAGTCTCCCAAGCCTCCCCAAACCCTTATCTACCCAGAAGTAGCCACATACATGTCCTGTACACAGTGGAAATTCAGTCTGCTTGTCCTCATGTCACAGAATCCAAACCCAAGGTAAACTCTGTGGGAAGCGATGTGTCAGGTGTTCTGGCGCTCAGGGGATTTGTTAATCTCTCAATCTCTTCTGAAGTAACCCAACTGACAGAACTTGAATTTAACTCTGCTCATACCCTGTGTGCTGCATCTATATCGTAGGAACTTAATGTTACGTGACTGAAACACGTTCTTGTCTCCTCTCAAGACAGCACGCAGCATTTTGTAAGGTGGCTGTTGCACTGGCATAAACTTCCCTTATGCTTTCAGGGTTAGTGGTGCTCCTCTCTGGCTGTGCCTGCTTCTGGTGTGGGTCTTGCTTTTTTGGGAGCAGGGGACACTAGCACCCATTGCGCCTCTAGTTCCTGAAGTAAATCCACAGCTGAATCACTTGGGAAGTTTTCCCAGTGCTAAAAGAAAGGTACCCTGGGACTTGCTCTGCCTTCTGAAATAATGCCATCAGTTACCCATAAATAATCACAGTGGAGAAAGAGGAGGAGTGGAAGGCCACAGATGGCATTAGAGAGGCTTTGATGAACAGGCAGTTTAATCTTTTATGCATTTCAGTGCTGTATATATTGAGGCTGACTTCAGTAGACATCACGGACTGCAAACCCTCTGGAACAGACGTGGGGTTTCTGTTCAGCCACTGCTTTCATTGACAGCACCCTGAATTTGTGGTATATTAATGTGGTCTTACAAGCTGATCTGAACTAGTAAATGGACTTCTGACCAGAACTGCTTTATACTCTGCTTTAAGCGATTAACTTATGAAGAAAGGATGGCTCGCAGGCTGCTTGGACCAGCAAATGCGGCAACGGTGCTTGAAGCACAAAGTGAAGACAACATGCAGAATGCACAGGTAAATGGGGAGCTGTCTGTAGAACAGGGATTTCCTGGTGGCTGTGCTGTGACCTGCTTGCATCTGAATAGGGCAGAGAGATCAGGTTTACTTGGTACCAGCACAGGAGAGGGAAGGGAAGGGATGGGACAGTTCTCACTGGCAGAGCTCTGTATAGTAGGGATTTGAATATTTTTGGGGGATGGTGGCAGAACTGGGAATTTAAGCACCATGCCCATGCTGGGCCTGATCTGTAGGAATGACCTCTCCAGGGAGGAATTACAGCAGCTGCTGCTCAGCACGTTACACCCCGCCTGTGTCAGGCAGGGAGCAGCGCAGAGAGGGATACAGGTACCCAGTCTCTAACAGCTCGAGTCCAGACTTGGCCAGGACAGCAAGATTTACACCTGTCACTGTTTGGAATAGGTGACATTGACTACAAGAGGTCAGGGCCTCGGGGTGGGATTGGTTGTGTTTTAGCCCTTCCAAAGGCCTGAAATAATTAAGAGAAGGCAAAGTAGTTATTTTAGCAGCCCACATGCTGATAGACAAGAATCTGCTACTACTGGCGTGTTCAAAAGTATCTTAGTTGGAGACTTGCATCACTCATTGGTTATTCAGGCCAGTTAAAAGCTCTCTTTGGCACTTTTGTGATAAAAGTTAGCAGAAAGGCCCGTGATGTGGCACTGGGTACCTGTGCAGCCAAGGAGAGCATCCCTCCTGCTGCATACATGCAGAGAGCCGGCAGGTTGGCAAAGTGCAGTTAGCAAAGCTTTCAATGCAAGAGACACTTAACATCACAACACAGGAGGAATGTAGAATTTGAGCTATTTCTTCCCAGCAATCACCTGACAACAGCAGGCAAGAAGGGAACATGATGGATTTCAGAGAGCAAGGGAAACCTCATCTTTTGCAGAGAACAAGGAAACATTCAGTCAAAACAGAATGACTGACACCTTTTCGGGGTACATGAAATGATGCATAAAAAGGAGCATTGGCTTATGTTTGGAATATCTTATTCTCATTGTTCAGTCTTATTTTTAAATATTGCAGTCATTGATTCATTCAGCCTCCTGATTCCTCACAAATTAATTACATAGTTAGTCCATATAATAGAGAATTAGAATTATCATCAGCAATTTCATCACTACAGAATCATTTCAAAAGACAACTAATAACTGTACAGAACTTGTGTAAATGAGCAGATGCAAGCAATTGCCTTTGGAGTCAGCCTTGAGCTCAGTCCAGCAAAACTCTTATTCATATAATCCTTCCCCTGAAGTGAAGACTGCTTCTGTGCTCAAAGTTTAAATCCAGGCTTAAATGTTCCACAGGACTGGCTACAGAGCTCAGAACGAAGCATTGTAATGGCTCCATGCAGACACCCCAGAAATTTCCATGCAGTTTCCTCTGTCTGACTCCATTGCTAAAATGAGTCACTGGTAATAAACTCTGCTTGTATTTTCCAAACATCTAAGTTCCTAGCAGGAATCAATCCTGGGCACTTTAGCAGATAAACTCATGTGATTGTGGAGTTGTCAGCAAGCTTAGTTGGTGCTGTGATCTATAAAGAAAAATATTTTCCAGCTCAGCATGTGTTCATTGCTATTGGTACCATATTTAAGTGGGCACAACAGAGTGCTCCTGCCAGCGATTCCACTTCTGTTCCTGCTGTAGGGAAGGACACTCCGTACTTAGCTCTCATTTTAGATACTGCCAGTAGTACTGCCCTCCTCTAACAAAGGTTACTGGCTGGCCAAAAGCCTTGTGTGCCAAACAAAACTGCTGCGCCTATCACCTGTGCAGAGCAATGAGAAACTGTCCCATTCTATTAATAATACTTGTTACTGTTGTGTCAAAGCCTAGGGTGGAAACAGAGTCTGTTAGCTCCTGATGCAGGTTTCTTTACCTCTTGTCCCAGTGACTGCTGAACTATTCCATTTGCTTTCAAGCAGCAGACAGTATATTAACTTAAAATGGGTTCTCTTTCAGTTTTCAGATAAAACTTGCTCTCTAAGTTAACTCACCTCTCTTCTTCCTCTTTCCAATCACCAGAATGCAGACAACATCAGGCTGCAGGTTCCTACAACACATGTAAGGTAATGGCTAAACTTCTGTTGCACTACTTTTCAAGGACTTATTTAAAATGTTTCTAGGCAACAGTTTTACTTCACTGCTTATTGCTTTAGAAGAAGTAGTAATCACTAAATTCATTCACTTCCTTTCAACTAAAACACTACTATTTGTGGATGGTTGATGATACCTATGATCTTCATCCAATCCATTCTAAGCATAACACTAAAGGTTTAAAGACTCCACATACTCAGGGCAAATATGCTTCATGTTGTAGAAGATGTATTTCTAGTCAAACCAAGGTCCAGCAATATAAATGATGAAACACAGCCTATGTTGTGCTTTTGGATATTAGGCCAAAGATGGAAGTTTCATGTGTTACGCCTCTGTGTCGAATTGAAAAACTTGAGCAAGATAAATGGTTGATCAAAACTCATGCCTTACAGCTGAAAAACAAACCAGAACTGTACTGTTGGATTCCTAAATGTGTTGAGGGACTTTAGCTGCAATCAGTACTTCAGTGTCATTTGTGCTACGGTAACTTTTACACAATTAACTCTCTCTGTCCACTTTTTAGGAGCAGACCGTCCTCAAGAGGAGATGAACGTGGACATGACTCAATCCAGGAAAAGTTTTTTCAGCCACGTTTTACACAAGTGCCTGAAGACATCATTATTGAGGAGGGGCGATTCTGCAGGCTTGACTTCAAAGTAATACCAGCCTTTCAGTCGTTTTCATTAGCAATGTGGGGTGCGTGGCACTAAGAGAGGTCTCTGAGCCATAGTGCCTTTGTGCTTTAAGCCAGAGCACTAACGGCAGATGATGCAGTGTCTCTCCAGGCAATGTAAACCAAAAAGTAGGAGATGGGTAAAAGTTTCAACATTTTCCCTTGGAAAATGTAAGTCAAATTAGTTGCATAAGAATATGGTTAAAGCTAAATAGTGGTAAATATGGACCACCACAGAAGACCTTATAGACATCATTGGGAAGAATGAATATAAAGGCCCTGCTGAAAGAAGGCATTTAGGGAGGTGACCTTGTGCTTTGGACTGACTTCAGTGGACACATGCTGGACACACGTCCAGCAGGGCCTATTTAGGACTAGCCTGCCTTTAATGAGTCTTCTCTGAGGTAACTGTGCCCTTGCAGAAGCGGACAATCTGGCAAAGAAATGCCCTAATTACAGACAAACCAACCACCAAAATGGCCTGAAGCTGCATGGCAACTGTACCACCTTACCTAGGGTGAGAACAAACTTAGGTCTTCTGCACATGCAACTTCACCTCAAAGGGTGTTTGCCGATTGTGGTTTGGCCTGGTTTTTCCTAATCACTTCCAATCAGTAAGCTCTTGCCAGACTTAAGACATGATCTTTAGCCATTTTGCTGCAAATTGCTTAACTTCTGAATGTCACGGACAACCTGGAGCACATCTGCAGGACAGTGTATTTACATACATTTTCAAAACAGTATGGATGTCAGCACTGATGACAGTGCTAGCTGTGGAATTAAAAGGGTGAGCTCCTCCCCTCTATGAACCCACAATGAGTATCTTTGGCCTTACCAAAACTACCTTACAAGCTGGGAACAACAGGGGGTGGCAGGAACAGCATCTACCATCTTGTAGCTAAAGCTCATCTTTCCCTTGCACTTCATGAGCCTTCCTCTCTGTGCAGCACCACATTAATATTCCAAACTGGGCAAGACTGTAAAATTTTGCAGTAGGATCGTGATCTGATCATCTATTGGCATCCAACACCCTATAGCACTGAAGAACTTTTATTATCTTAAAGCTGCTTAACTCTTCACTGTTTTCTTCTCCTCCACAGGTTAGTGGGCTGCCGACTCCAGATGTGATGTGGTATCAGAATGGAAGGATGGTTCATCAAGATCAGTTCCATAAAATGATAGTGTCAGAAAAGGGATTCCACTCATTTATTTTTGAAGCAGTCAAATCATCTGATGCAGGGACATACGAATGTGTGGCTGTCAACCGTGCAGGAGAAGCGTCTTTTGCAGTAAAAGTGGAAGTCATTGGTAAGACTGAGAGCACTGATAGTTACTGGGCCACACGTGGAAAATCTCAGTGATCTAATGCCTTCCTCCTTGTGTTTGGGACATAAAACAATTAAGAAGCAGATGTGGATCTTAAGATATTCAGACTCAAATGATAACAAACACCCTACATTTTCCAAGACCCTTTTAATACATATGTCTGGGATGCCGTATTTCTTCAAAGCACTTCTAGATGGATATTTAGATGTAGTAGAATATTCAGAATTTGGAAGCTGTTACAAATTCTGGAAGGTTAATATGTTGATTGACTCTTTTCCTAAAGTGGATTGTGTCTACTACACCCTTATGCTTATGGCTACAGAGTTGCATGTGTCCTCTTGAATTTAACATTCTGAAATTTTTTTTTTTTTAAAAAGCCCGATATTAGTGTTCAATACTTCAATAATTCCTTATCTTTCCTCTTTTTTTTTTTAGCAAAAGAACATCACACGCCTCCAACTTTCATCTTCAAGCCACAAAGCAAAAAAGTTTTTGAAGGAGATACAGCCAGACTTGAATGCCAGATCTCTGCTATCCCAACACCCCGGATTTACTGGAAAAGAAACAACGAAATGGTACAATATAATACAGACCGAATAAGGTATCCTACTAATGAGATAGCCATTGGTGTGTTAGAAAACAATAACCAGTATTTGTTAAGTCAGATTTGAATTGGCTGGTTTCTGAAAGCAGCAAGCTGGAAAGTGAGATCTGCCCTCGTTTAGGACACATGGTGAAGAGGCCCGTGTGCTGGTCAGGCGAGATGCTGAGGGTCTTGTTTTGAGGGCACAGAGAGAAAACTCTGACCAGGTGCCACTGAATTCCAGCAGCAGTTACAAGGCCCAGGGACTGAAACATGCAGTGCATTCTGGCCTTGATGCCACCCAAATGGTCTCATGATCACTGGTGGCTCATAACACAAATGCAGTGTTGATGTCTAAATAGTTTGCAATGCCCTGCAAGAATCGCCCTAGGGCTTTCTCAGCTCCTCAGCATGGAAACTGACTCTGATGTCAATGTCTTCTCTCCTTCCTTCTCCAAGCCCTTACACCTAAACACCTTCATTTTTCAGCTTGTTACATGACAATACCGGAAGGATTTGCCTCCTGATTCATAATGCAAACAAGAAAGATGCCGGTTGGTACACTGTGTCTGCTGTCAACGGAGCAGGTGTGGCCACCTGCCATGCCAGGCTGGAGGTTGCAAGTAAGTACCACATCCCAGTGCCAAAACCACACACATCACAGGGCCACAGCCACAGCTGAAACTGGCACTGGCACTTGTGTTCAAAACAGACCCTTGAGATTGAATCATAGAATCACTGAGGTAGGAAAAGGCCTTTAACATCACCGAGTGCAACTGCAAACCTAACATTGCCATTAACCTGATAAAGCTTAGAGTGCAGGGAAGATTTCTTTCTAAAGATACTGAACTAGACAAAAGGTAACTAACCCAGGAAAAATTACATTGTTTAGTGCCAAGACATTGTGATGTGTCCTTTGCACGTTGTCTGCACCTGCTAGCCAGGCTGTTTAAAGAGTACAATTTGATTGATACCAAGGAGGGTGAATATACTTCTCTTTCCCATAAATCTTTGGTGTCTGAGATATGGGCTTGTCTGTTAAATTCTTCATAAGGGTTTGCTGGTTTATCTTGCAGATAAAAAACAATTGGGGTGCTCTACCGTGGGTCTTTCTGCAGTCTGGGAATACATTGAAAAAGGCTTTTTTCTCTCTTCCAGCACATGCAGACAAGCCAGTTCCAGCACCAAAGCAGTTACGGGTTCGACCAACTTTTAGCAAGTATTTGGCACTTAATGGAAGAGGACTGGATGTGAAACAAGCCTTTTCACCAGAAGGAGAGTTTCAGCGTTTGGCTGAGCAGTCTGGACTGTACGAAAGTGATGAACTTTAACTGGAAATGAAGAAGAAAACTCACACCTATAAGAGACAATTACAACATAGATGCAGTTAACTGGTGATTGCTCTAATTAGCAAAATGCCCATCTACATATTTTTACTTTGACTCTTGCACATTCAGCTGTTTCCATTTTACCATGTTAGATTTTATTTATATGAGTTGGTGAATATAACCATTTACTGAATATTGTATTTTAACTATAAGGCCTAAGAAAGCAGGCCAATTAGTTTTCTCAAGTGTGGCTGGTTTTAGTTCCACCCATACTTGGTTACATGCTACAGTAGATTGGTTTGTACTGCTTCCCTAATATCACTCTTGATAATATCAGAAGTCTGTACTGCCTGAATACTAAAACCAAATAGATTAGAGTGTTTTTATGAGAATAAATTAGAGGCAAATAAAACTTTACATGGCCAACATCAGCTGTGATTCTTCCTTGATCTGTTAAAACCAGCTATGGATATCTGGCATCAGCTGCAGCCTGGCAAAGGTGAACTCTTACCCTACAGTGCTTCCCCCATCATTTGTCACCTGATAGCTATAAACTATTTAGCATAAACTAGGTGCTGACACTCCCTTAACACTAAAACACATTGGTGAGGCAACATCAATATTTTTTCTTCTTGCACATGTGACCCAGTAACTACTCTATATTATATGAAGCAATAAGGCTTCCACATTTTCTGTTCTTTTGCCAAGGAGTATCTGTGACTTATCTGACTGCTGGCTCTCAATAAGCTGTTGATTTGAATGATCCAAATGGTTTGCATGCTGCTATTCACAGCCACCTTGCTCAAAAGAATAACAAATATAATGAAATCTGATTTTGCCAAACTCAAGTAAACCTAATCTCTGAAGAGTTTTTTCATCTGCAGTTGGTACAGCAAAATCTGTAAGGATGGAATTAGCCTGAACTCCTCCTGGGATGTGTGTAGTAACGCTGCTGCTAGCCAGCAAACCCCATGAGCATCTTCCAGAATGGAAGAAATAAGGTCTCAGCTTCTTGCCACACTGCTGTAATATTAAATAAACTCCCCCAAACCTGAACTGCACAACACTGACTATTAAACTCCTAACAACATGGAGCAGCTCTACCACCACACTTCTCCTGTGGGCTGCCTGAATAATGAAATGCACCAGGATAACTCCCTCAGCTGCACTCTTTGTGGGTTTGGGCTGATCAAAGGCAGACCGATACTTGCTATGCTCATAAGCCTTCCTTTGAACATGAAGACTCTGCGCTGCTTGGGCAGGGGTACGGTACCAGCCAGGTCTGGTACAGGAGCACCTGAAATTCTTGTAGGGTCTGGGATCCCCAGCAGCACCTGAGCTCACAGCATTTGCACTAATACACGTTTAAATGAACATATTCTATGTTCCCTGCTGCTCTTCACAGCAGGAAGGAAGTTTCCCAATTGCCTGGACCTAGCCTGGGCTCATCCAGACGCTGCAAGTTTATCGTTTAATCCCCCCC